GAAGTTTGAAAGGTTTTAAATTGTAAATGAAGGTTGAATTTGAAAAAAATTCATGAAGATGAAAAAATTCATAATGTTGAAATCCAGTGAAGATCATTTTTTGTGAAATAAATATTTCACGCCACACTTAGTAAACGCACTTAGCAGTCGGTGTCGGGTCACAGGGGGTCGCAAATGGACCCCCTCGAGGTCGCAAATGGACCCCTTCAAGAGAGGGGGGTCTCAAAAATCCCGAAAATGTTAGAACGTGACGGTTGACCCTGCTCTCCACTCCGCGCTTAGTCTCTCATTGCTAAGGCACGGCCGATTACGAATGTGAGTAAACCCTTAACCTAAGCGTTTTCGTTGGATTCTTCTCCTCTTTTTTCTATACTGCCGGCCCCTTCTCATCAATACATTCGCATTTTCAGTGACAAGTGGCGCGCGCAGAGATCAAATTCCATACGCTGTACAGGTCAAGCCTACCTTCTTTCCTGGGTCAGTGAATCAGTGGCGGACTTGCCTGTGAGGACAGAAACTCCGACTTGAACATTGTTTAACCCTCCTCCCCCTTCAGGTCACTGTTCAGGCGAAATTAAATTTGAATACCATTACGATTAGGGATGGATCTTGAATACACGGCGCGTCCAAAGGATCGGTAAACGTCATCACACTATCCTTTGTGTTCCAAGAAGGTTTTTTCTTGCACTTTTCGTTATTTTCTTCAGCACTTACTATTAGGATTTCACAGACGTTGTCATAATGGTAACCATAAAGGATAAAGCAGTTGCGGGTGGTCAATCCATTTTGAGATGCAGCGCGCATTCTGCTTCCATTCAGAATCGCAGTGGCAATTGAATGCGATTGGGCATATGCAATGACTTGCGTAGGTCAGCTGAAGTTTAAGTCAGCGTTTTGATCCTCGCAGACTAATCTGGTACCAATTCACCGAACCCGGAGGGATGACAGGCTTGGTTGGTCCGGGTGCGCAAGAACCAGGATTTGATCCCCGGACCGCGCGCATGATAAGCAGCGCCACTTGCCACTACACCACTTTCATACTCAATGTTTACCAGTTCTGATGCGGAAGAAAGCCATCCATTGGCGAACATCTTCTAAAATTGGAAGATCCGCCACTGCAATTAAGAATTTCAAAAATAGAGGAGCTTTTTCTCGTCCTTGAACTTGTGTCCAGGCAAGGTATGGTGGTGTAGAAGCATGGTTGAACGCGTTGGCTACAGCATATCCTGATTGGGCCACGCTTTTGGGACCACGTGATACACTACCGCATCACTCCACTGCGACTCGTTAGTCCCCCAATGCGGAACTTCCTTCCGGATTTTTATACAATATTATTTCATAGCGCGCTGTCGCTAGAGTGTTAATTGCGGAATGTAACATTCCAAGTCCAAAGTAATTACTTCCTTTTCAGGTAATAGGTAATTTGTTCAGCGGCAGTTCCACTTTCGGCAGTTATTGTCATTTATAATGTTTGGTACTTTGGCAATTAATTTAACTGCAACAGTTTATTGCAACATTTAACTTCGTCTACTTAGCTTTTCTGAGTATGAGTAGTAGAATAATAAAGTGGGACATTAATTCATTCCACTCTGGAGTGCGCCATGCAGCCGACTTGTGTTGAGAATTGCATAGGCATTGGATTGACGGGGACCTGTGCGGCCTTGTACAGTGACTTGTAGAAGTCCAACGATATCCTACAACTCTTCCTTCAAGTCTACTTCCAATTAATTAAATTCGGACGGGTGAATAGTATGATTGGTGTGGGTGAGATTTGATCTTTGGACCACGCTTTTGTTGACGGCGCCACTTGTCACTTCTTCAGCTGCGTCCATTTTTCGAAACGTGCGAAAGAGGACTGAAATTCTATTTTTACATTAGAAAAAACCTACTCATGTGATGATTTGTGATGGCAACAAGCAAACATTAAATTCATGCATGAGAACGCTTTTTTTCTCGTTCTGTTGCTTGAACGTTCATTTTCGGTTCCAGTCTTTCTTAATCGTTGCAAATAAAATGTAAAATTGTTGTTAGATAGAATACTTGAATTTAGATTTCCCTTTGATTTGTTACTTACACCTACACCACAGTTCATTCCACTTGGCCCCGTGATCACCTGAAAAATGGCGATCATTTGATCGGAAGTATTTAATGGGAGAGCCGAATCCTTGAAAATCACTACCGCTTCGATTTTTCAATGATTTCTCATTCCTACACTCATTTATTTCATTTTTCATTTCTATCTATTTTTATTTCGCTGGGATGAATTTTTATGTTGCAAATCTCGAGGACAGTGATCGCGATGGCTGGTATGCGGCGCGGTTTTGATGACGTCATTGAACGCCCCGCTCAGCTCGCTGTAGATATGGTTGGGACAGCCTCTCAAAGGCAGCAATCAAGATAGGTTCTAGAGGTGCTTAGAGAGGACGCGGTTGTGCTCAATACTTCACTAGTGGGGAAAAAAGCAGAGAAATCCGTCAAGGAGACGCAGAATTGGACCCATATTTATAGGGCCGTTTATTTTCACTTATGGACGGGCGATGGCCGAGAGGGGGCGGTATGGGCGAGTTTACCGCAACCCCTTGGTGGCACTATGCCAAATCACTAACTAGTCTAGTATTCCAGTTGTGTCGCTGCTGGCAACACAGATTGCCCAAATCACCAACTGTATCAGTGGGTGGAGCGTTCAAAGCAAGAGTCCCAGCAGGGCTGAAGTGGGCGTGGCGTACAGAAGTCGTACTCCCTCTTGCCAGCCGTGGAGATTCGTGCACGGCCACAATTTGCATCGTGAATCGACGTTTGCTATCGATTTGGGACCGCAGGAACTATTTGAAGTCGATTCTCGATGCAAATCGCGATCGATAACGAATCTGCACGGCTGGCAAGAGGAGGTGCGCTCCTGTACGCCACGCCCATTTCGACCCTGCTGGGACTGTTGCTTTAAGGGGCAGAGCGATTTTCAAGTACTGCTCGACAACCAGCGCAGCTTTCGTCCTGTTACGTTACGTTGTGATCTTCTAACACTTCCCTTCAACCCTTAAACTTCAGAGGGCTCGCAACCTCCGACGAAATTTCTTTTGAGCGAAGAGCTTGTTCGCCAGATGAAAACAGATGTTCTTCAAGAGACATTTGATGCAAGTTAAAGGCCTTGTGCCTGTGCACGTCGCTCGTCCTCGTGCGCCAAAAGTCGCGCCACACAACTACCCTAGGCTTCTATTCAAGGAACGGGTTCCTTTAAAGGCATGCCACTGCATCAAATTGGTGTGGTTCTTGCGCACGAATGCGAATATATTGATGCGGAAAGAGCCGGCAGTAAAGGAGAAAGGAAAAGAAACCGTCCAGACGCTCAGGTTAAAGGCTCGCTCACCTTTGTAATCAGCTGTGCTAAGGCAATGAGAGTTTAGCGTAGGAGAGTATGGGGTGAGAGAGCGTAACAGATGAGAGGATGCCAGACAACAGCTTGATAAAAGAACATATGCAGCTTCGGCAGCTCACCTTACAGGGCCCTAGCGCTTTCTTCAGGTGATTTCCCTTCACGAGAATGCCACATCTGTGATTGTACCCAAGCGTTTGATCCTACACACCAAAGTGAATCATTCCCATGACTTCTGCCTGGGGTGTGCCTTTAAGGCCACATTCCCTACACTTCCTCCCGAGTCGATCAAGTGGCGCTACATTCCGATAGCTTACATGGACTAAGCACCCTCATATTTTGGCTACCTCCATAGGTGATTGTGCACGCCAATTAGGCACTCAACACTCACTATGACGGTGAATTTACTACAGATTCATGGCGCATTCCGAAGCGGATAGGTAAGTTATAGGCGTGGCGCTTTGCCATTCATCTCTCCGCATCCACAGGCAAAGTGCAGAAGTTGTTCGCTCTAGCAGAGGTGGAAGTTGGAGGCTTTCCAAGCTTCGAGCTACAAATTCAAAAAAAATCACAGTAATTCATTCCTGCTTAGAAGTTTTAACAATATTGACATCCAATAATAAGGCTGCTAAACCTGGCCTTCACCCTGAGCATCCGCCACCCTTGAAATTCTTGCACTAGATAGGTACCGCACTGTAAATTATCGGAAGATTGCTGCATGGGCACAGGTTAAGGTGTGTCCTTGAGAACAAGGAAGTAGCTGACGCCTAGAATGTCGCTTGTTTATCTATTGATAGTAAATCGAATTAGGTAAACAAGGCGAATAAGTGTACGGCCTCGGAGTCACCGTGAACGTCATTTCCTACAGGTAATTCTGCGAGAAATTGAAGGACATGTGTGCAATTCTCTCACGTGGCTGCCAATTAGACCTTATCGTCTTATCTTTTCAGAGAAGGTTCCGCTCTTGAATTGTGTACTACGGAACATAAAGTATTAGTAGTAATCGCAAAGATACTGACAAGGAAAGAAGGATCATAGGCCGATGAGACCGTTTAAAATGAAGTCCATATACTTGATGGGTATTCAGACCGAGACCTTGAATCTGCCTTCCTGTAACCTAGGACCCATTTTGACCTAGTATTCACCCCTGGAGGTCACAGGCAGAACCCTTTGCCCCGGTGGGGAATCAAACCCAGGTAACTTTGCTTATCAGACAAAAATGTTACCATCACATCACCAGAGCTGTTTCGCTTTGACTCAGTTTTCAGCAGTTTTTCGGGTGAAAATCCAGTTGAAGGGGGCCACTCCAGTGTGCTCTCCAATACTCAAGATAAAAATGAGAGCGCTGGTGAAACGTAATCGATCATTCAAAGTGTACTTCGGATAAAAACTGGTGTAGTTGGGAGTAATCCAGAGGTGCTTTCACAGTGTGGCCTGCAATACAGGGTGCGCCAAAATTACGGAGACAGCTATTTGGGGTCGCCTGCAATGAGTATCCTACCATTCTAAGAAACCAAAACTGCAGTAACTTTCCCTGTTCAATCAAGAATCGTATACATACACTGAATCTCAAAAATCCTTCCGTTGGCATTTACACGGGCTCCGAGAAGCATTGAGGTACCATCGGATGTGACACGGAATGTGGTGCTTGGTCCCGTCCTCCTCATTTCGCAGCGATTTCCTCCATGAATCCCGAGAAACAGGAAGACCTACGCAAGCTTCAGCTCATAGAAACGATTCCACAATGCAATCCATTTAGATCTAATTAAAGTGCTGACCTACTCGTTGAAAGTGAACAATGCGATAAAATTGGCCCTGCTCCAGTTTTGCAGCACTTTTCTTTTATGGGACTACTTTCTTCTGAAAGATATAACAACCTTTTCACATCTCAGAATGGTAGTATGCTTAGGGAGTCTCAAGTAATCCTCTTAATGTTCATCTCTCGTGACATTCGGCGAAAGGAGCG